TGGGTGTCGCAGCCGTACCCGGTGCCGCCCAAGCGATCCTCGGGCAAGCCGTCGGCCGACTCGATCGCCCTCGCCATGTCCGGGATCGAGGGAGGCATCGCGGCCCTCTCGCTCAACGGCGGCGGCGGCGGCGGCGGCGCCGTCTCGCCCAGGGTCGAGCACTACCGCGCCGTGCTCCTCGCCGGGCTCGACCGGCCCTCGATCGACTCGAGCTACGTCGATGGCGTGCTGCGCTTCAACGCCTTTGGTCCGGCACCCAACCCGGGCACGGCCGAGTCGGACAGCGGCGGCGCGCTCGACGCTTCGGAGCTGTCGCGCTCGACCATGGTCCATCCGCTGCCCGCCATCCTCAACCACGCCTGCCTGCCCAACGTGTCGTCGGTCTTTTTCGGCGACGTCGTCACCACGCGGGCGCTCCACCCGCTCAAGGCCGGGACCGAGATCATGCACCAGTACGTGCGCGGCGAGCAGCCCTGGCCCCTCCGCCGCTCGCAGCTCTCCAAGCACGGCTTCGTCTGCCGCTGCGGCATCTGCCTGCTCGACGAGCGCGACGGCGACGAGGCGTGCAGGACGCGCCAGAAGCTCGTCGGCGGCAGCTTCCCCATGCTGCTCGAGCGCAGCCGGATCCTGCTCAAGGACGACGGCGCAAAGGGCCAGAGCGAGGCCGAGCGGCAGGACGACCACCGCGACCTGGCATCCAGCCTCGAGGACCTCGTCGACCAGGTCCAGGCCACCTACCACGCCGAGCGCGGACAGCTGCGGCCGGATCTCATGGCCATCTGGCAGAAGATTGCCCAGCACCGCGCCAAGTTTGACGTCGAGGCGGCAAAGGACGACGAGCGCAACGCCCTCGCCTCGATCGGCGCCGTCCTCGCGCTCCATCCCGCGGCCACGGCAGGCATGGGCCCGGACCTCAAGGCCGCCTCGATGCTCTCGCGCCTCCCCGACCTTCACTTTGACGGCGCCATCAAGTCGATGCTCGCCCTCTCCTCTCTGTGTCTCGCCCAAGACGAGGGCATCGCCAAGCGGTGGGCACAGTCGGCGCTGTGGGCCCACGAATGCACCATCGGCGGCGGGCCCGACGTCTTTCTCGACAGGTGGGAGGCCGGGTACGCTGGGCTGCCGGTGCGCAAGTGGATCAAGTGAGGCGCGCGGCCGGCTAGGGCGAGGACGAGGGCCGCCGTCGACGCGCAGCGCATCGTCGAGTGCCGAGCCAAGGGATACCGGATCGGACTGGAAAGCGGAGTGGCTGATGGACGGGCACTCGTCGTGTGACAGGCCCGGTGCAGACACCTTGGTCACTGCCTCGCAGTCGAGGACGGGCAAAGTGGCGGAGCGACGCAGTAGTGCAATAGAGATAGATCTTCCCCATCCCCGCCTCGACTCGAGGAGCGAGCCGGCCTGTGACCCCGCGCAGAACCGCTTTGGCCCCTCGGCATGCGAGGAAGGAGGTGGCAGGGCGTGGGTCGGCGCTGGTGCGGCGCACCTCCAAGCCCGCCCGCGGCCCAGCGGAGTGTGTTCGGCAGGACTGGGCGGGAACGGCCTGCCAATGGCGTCCGCCGCCGCTGTGACCTCTCGCGAGGGCGCCTATAGCTTGTCGAGCGACGCGAGGAACGCTTCGGGGCGAGTATGGTCGACCTGCCTTTGCTCGGTCCATCAGAGCAGGTTGGAACGAAGGTGATCCGGTCAGCTCGAGCAGGTCACGCCACGCCGCGACGAGGGGTACGGCGCCGCCTCGACTCACTTCCAGTCGGGAAACCGCATCGATGCCGCATCGAGGTCCGGAAAGTGCCGCTCAATGGCCTGTACGACAGCGTTGCTCACGATCTGCGCAGGTAAAGAGCGTGGTGCGACGGCGTGTCAGCATCGCCGGGCCCGTTCGTCGTCCCCCTGCTTCGGTGCGCGCCCGGAAAGCCAAACCGTCCGCCCATCTGCTCGCTAGCTCACCTTGTACCCCTCTTGCGTGAGATGAACGCCGTCGTGCAGAAACTTTTTGAGCCCCTCGTCTCGATCGCCGTACCGTCGCACCGCCTCGTCCTCCATGAGGTAGCACAGCTCGACGGCCGCAACGGTGCCGCGCGAGCCGCGCACCTCGTCAGCGGCGCGCAGACACGCTGAGCTGTATAGCCTCGTGTGCCCCTCTTCCCGGTCCTTTGCAGCCACGACGTCCGGGTTGGCGCGTTCGTGCTCGGCCCTCGCGGCGGCGCAGAATGGCGGTGGCGTCAGCAGCAGCACCCGTGCGTCGGCGGGGAGCAGCGAGACGAGTCGAACCAGGTTCGAGCTGTACGTCTGCGGGTCCACGGCGCGAGCCTCGCCCGGTAGGACAGAGTCGTTGGCCCCCAACCAGATCGTGACGAGCTTGACGCCATCGAGATCGCCTTCCCGTGCGAGCCGCTCGACAAAGCCTGTCACGATCGTCGAGTTGTACCCAGAGAAGCCGCGGTTAATCACATCGAGCCGGCGCTGGTACCGATCGGCGAGCACCGCCGCGAGTCCGTTGGACGTCCATGAGAACTGCGAGAGTCGTGGTGGCGGGACAGGCGACGAGCGAGAGGCGAAGCAGAGCGAGCTGGTAAGTCGAAATCCGAGCGACGAGGACGGAGGGGCAAGAGTCGAGGCCGGCGAGCAGGCACGAGAGCCGGACGCTCCACTCTAGCTGCGACACCGCCCTGCTGCTCTCGCCCCGCACCGTCGCCGACACTCACCTGCGTCAGCGAGTCGCCGATCAAATAAACCTTCCCCTGCATTGTCGGACGAAGCCGTCTGTTGAGGCGAGTCGAAAGAGTGGCGGGCAAGCAAGGCGTTGATAGATTAAGGAGGCGGGAGAGGAAGCGAGGCCTGCAACAGAGGGTCGGCGGGTCTCGAAGCGCGGCTTGGGCCCTCCACCAAGAAGCACGGGCCAGCCGCCAGTGGAGAAAACTGCCCTGTGTCAGGACATCAATTCAAGGGCCCTGAAAGCCAACATTCCAGCCATCAGAGCACCAGTCATCAGGTTGTCTGGGCTGTTCCTGGCTTGCAAGGAGATCAAACAGACCTCAAGTTCTCTCATTCAAGGCCTGGTGTGCAATCTGCTTGGAATGGACTTACAAGGGGTATCCCTCCAAAAAGATTTGGAATTGACCTCTTTTTATTGGCTAGATAGAAGGAGAAGGAGTGGAATAGCAGGATAGACCCCCAACCCCAGACCTGAAAATGAAAACTGACGGAGATATGGCTTGTCAAAGTTGGGGTTGGCTTATGTAAGCGACATTGAAAGTTGCTTGGATCGCTCTGAGCCCTTATTGAAAGTTGTGCGTAGCACCAATTCAAGGCTGCATGCAAAAGATGGGGGCGATCGGAACGCTCAGTGGACGGCAAAACAGGAATTTGCCTTTTGGACGATTGTTCTAAGGGTCCCCCCTTAGGACCGGGCCGACAAAAAAAGTTGCTCAGATGTTACGACCGTGGGCAGGGAGGTGCCGCGGGGCTAGGGTTAGGGTTAGGGTTACAAGGTGGACCCAGCCAAAAGTTGGGTAGGGATAGGTAGTGTACCTTGTTCTTTACCTATTTCTGAGCATATTCTTTGCTGGATCCCTTATCAGTTGTCTTACTGGTTGCGGCGCTACGGTCGCTCAAAGTAAGTCCGCTTTTGGGGTCGATGACCAAAAATGTCACAATACAGCCTTGTGCCACTAATGAACGTTGTTCATAACAATGAGATTGAGATGTACAGGAAGTTTCAGGAAGTTTGAACGGATAGCCATGGAGAAAAAGCAAAAGTTGCATTTCGGGGGGTCGACCTAAGGGGGGACCCTTACCCAAGTCCAACCCTGACCCCCTCAGATCTTCTTGCACCC